AAATATCACTTTAGGATCACTTTAACAGGTAAATGTTGAAGTAAATGGGCCGTGCAGCTTATTAAACTAAAAACAGCCACAGCACACAGAAGCACTACCTGAGAGAGCACATGCTGGTATAGAGTTGCACAAGAAAGGATACGTCGTTTCAAATTCAACACCAAAATACCGATCGATGAAATTCTTCTTTTTTGAGGCGGCAGCGGCTCCACTATCACCGTCAGTCTGTTAATCGACCAAAAACATGCAGATAGAAGAAAATGATTACAATTATTTTCAAAATTGTTTTCTATTTTCCAGAAAAATATGATAAAGAACTGCTTTTGTTTACATTAAATTCTTAGTGTTTCTGTAGTGAAACCATTATATACAATAAACAATATGACCCGTGCTGGCAAAATGAGTCTAATTTTGAGCAACAGGCAAAAGAAATGGAAAATGTCGGTTGTGGTTGAATTTGAGGTTTTCACAAAAATGAGTTCGTTAAGCCCTCGTCTAGCGATCCCAATGCTCCAAATAGTAATTCAATATCTAAAATGATCTTTATTTGTACATTTTCTGAGAGGAGTATCTTTTTCTCTGCTCACTGGACGACTGCTGCTACTTCTCACCACAAGTTGTAGGTCTATTGTTGCAAAGCGCAGCATTCCAGCTTTGTGAATATTCATATCGAATTCTCGATGACACGAGTCCAAACCAGTGAAATATGGTATATTTGTAGCAATACTTAAAAATACACTGTATGGGTCAAAATTATAGATTTTTCTTTTATGCCAAAATCATTAGGATATTAAGTAAAGATCATGTTCCATGAAGATATTTTGTAAATGTCCTACTGTAAATATATCAAAACTTAATTTTTGATTAGTAATATGCATGGCTAAGAACTTCATTTGGACAATTTTAAAGATGATTTTCTCAATATTGCACCCTCAGATTCCAGATTTTCAAATAATTGTATCTCGGCCAAATATTGTCCTATCCTAACAAACCATACATCAATTGAAAGCTTGTTTATTCAGCTTTCAGATGATGTATACACCTCAATTAAAAAAAATTGACCCTTATGACTGGTTTTGTGGTCCAGGGTCACATATACTAATTTGATGGTATTTTAATGGAGAATGTAAAAAAAAAAATAAAAATTTGAACGTTTGCTCATTTCGACTCATTTTGTCAGCACGTGTCACATATAATAAGATAAGCTCACGTCCAGTGTGGTTTCTGGTTCTTGAGATTCTAATTTCTGCTGAAGGACCCGCAT